CCTATAAAACAAAACAAAACAAGACAAGACAAAACAAGACAAAAAAAACAAAAACTGGAGGGCATTTCTTCTCCAAACCCACCAACACAGGTTAGATGTGTTAGATGCCTTTTGTTGAGTCACTTCATGTTTCTGCCACCCTACCTCTTAATCCAGCTGCTGCTGGAGGCCAGCACCAGTTCTGCATAGGCTTATAAAAACTTGGTGCATTGCAATCTGGCAGCACTTCCTCTCACACCTTTGCTTCCAGCCTCCAGGGCTTTGCGATGATGCCTTGGTGTGAATGTGCATACTTTGACACTCAAGTGCGATCCGAGTTAATCACCCATGGGGACCTTCCTTGACCAATGGGGATACAAGCTTGTAGATATACGCTTCCCTCTTTCCTCTGGGTGGGACAGCTCTGAAGCGCACAGTTTGTACATTTGGTAAGATTCCTCCAAAAGTCCATGGATTCAGGTACCAGTGGCCAATTTTGTAAGAATCGTGTTAGCTTTCTTTCCATCTCGGTTCCACCCCTCTGTCTCTTCTGCTTTTTTCCCCTGATACCACTTCCTGAATAAACTACATGCATGTGAACCTTTATCCAGGGCTCTGCTTTCAGGGAATCCAGGCTAAGACATTGGGGAGCAGGAGTAAATTCGAGGGTAAAGAGAGGCAAAGAGTGTTATGCTAACGGATGTCCTTCCAGCTGGAAGGAAAAATCAGAAATAAGTACTTCCTCTCCGACAGGGAAAATAGCAGGACTACAATCTAGATCAAAGGCATAAAAATACCTTCTTTGATTACCCCAATGCTTAGACAGAAAAAAAAAAAAAAAGCTAAGAAATTCAACTCCCTTTTTACGGAATCTAAAGAGAGATGAAAACAAAGTTGAACGGTAGAAGATCAGCCCTAATGGTAGATATGAGGTTTTTAAGCCCTGAAAGCCCCCAGCTGGAATTGATTCATGTCAGAAAACATGTGCTCTGAGCAGAAAAAGACTGGACAGATTTGGGATCCCTTTTAGTTCTGTGTGACTGGTTGTGTACAGTTATTTTTATGAGAACCTTGTGGGCAAAATGGGTATTAGGACTATAATTTTAGAACCATGTTTTCTGGTTCTCTTGTCTTGTAGAATGGTTTAGTCTGAAATAAGAGAAGAAATATTCTGCGCTGAAAATGAAGAGAAAATCACTGGCCATAAAGGAATTTCTTCTATCATAAGTGCGGTGCAGTCTGTCATCATTGATTGGCAGGGGTATCAACCTGGGGAGGCTGGGCTGTGGATTGCATGGTCAAGACTGGTCTTTGGGAAGCTGGGCTTTTCTCAGAATACTGATTCTGCCTACTACACACCCCAAACATGATCTGTCTCTAACTCTCATTCCTACCGCTAATCTGTAATTTTTCTTCCCCACTCCTGAATCATAACTCGGCCTCTGAATTCACTTTGGGTAGGGCTGGCTTGTTGCTCCCACCAAGCTTCTAAACTGAAACCACAGAATAACTCTTGCTTGAGTTATTACTAACAAAATAACTCTTGTGTTTTTTTATGGGACAGGATTTACCTGCTAGTAGATTGCTGAAGCTCCACATAAAAACATATGCTCCATGCAAGAGAGCCCAGAAGATCTTGGGATGAGTCTTCCTCAGGCCAGGAAGCATCTGCCACAGCTGGGATCTTTCCTATTGAGTAGCTTTGCACTATGTGCACGGACAATGGAGATCCCTGGAATTTTGCATATGGCACTGCCAACTTGTTGGATTGATGGCAATCTCTTTGACAGACAGCTTGTTCTTCTTGAATAGAGGCCAGGCTTGTCAATGTTTTCCCTTAGTAAAACAGAAGGAGGTTAAGAATTGGGTGCAGGGTCAGGCATGGTGGTTCACACCTGTAATCCCAGCACTTTAGGAGGTTGAGGCAGGCAGATCACGAGGGCAGGAGTTCGAGACCAGCCTGACCAACATGGTGAAACCCTATCTCCACTATAAAAAATTGCCTGGGTGTGGTGGTGCTCGCCTATAATCCCAGCCACTTGGGAGGTGGAGGTTGCAGTGAGCCGAGATGGTGCCACTGCACTCCAGCCTGTGAGACTCCATCTCAAAGTAAGTAAATAAATAAATAAATAAATAAATAAATAGAAAAAGAACTGGGCGCTCCTCTAAAAAGCACTGGCCATCTTGGGAGTCTCTGGGGGATCTCATTAAAAATTTTATTTTTATTTTTTAATTTTTAAAATAGAGATCAGGGTCTCTCTATGTTGCCCAGGCTGGCCTCAAACTTCTAGCCTCAAGAAACCCTCCCACCTCGGCCTTCCAAAGTGCTGGGATTACAGGAATGAGCCACCATGCTGGGCTCTGGGGATTTAAAGAAGCTCTTGATGGACTTCCTTTTCAGGGCTGTACTTTCCAACCAGCAGGTGAAGAGCTGAATCACTAAGGACACAAATGAAAAGGGAGGGGCAAAATATGAAGGCTTTATATTTCCTTTTGAGGGACGCAGCTCCAGTCTAACTTGCTACACTGTGAACTTCACCACTGGAAAGTAACAAAGGTAAGAGAAATGTTTCTGTACTTTATTATCTCAACTGTGCTTGTTGTCAAAGGGGACAATAAATAAGAGTAAACCATAGCATTTGGACAGGCTGCATAATGAACCAAGTGAAGGGGCAACTAACTTATTATTTAATTGAGTATGACTTTTGCTGATCCCTTGATAAATACATTAGCATATTTTGATGTCATTGATAGTATGCATTTAAAAATCTTGAGGCAGGCTGACTTGATTTCAGATCTTCGTTTAGTAAAATGGAACTCTGTTGATATTTTCTACTTACTAATCTTCATTCAAAACACAAGCTAGTCATGCATGCTGTGGCCTTTGTGTATTGAAACACTTCTTAGCTCCTTAGAAGATCTTTTTTTTTTTTTTTTTTTTTTTTTTTTTTGGAGACGGAGTCTCGCTCTGTCGCCCAGGCTGAGTGCAGTGGCGCGATCTCAGCTCACTGCAAGGTCCGCCTCCCGGGTTCACGTCATTCTCCGGCCTCAGCCTCCCGAGTAGCTGGGACTACAGGCGCCGCCACCTCGCCCGGCTAGTTTTTTGTATTTTTCAGTAGAGACGGGGTTTCACCGTGTTAGCCAGGATGGTCTCGATCGCCTGACCTCGTGATCCGCCCGCCTCGGCCTCCTAAAGTGCTGGGATTACAAGCGTGAGCCACCACGCCCAGCCAGAAGATCTTAACTTACTATGCTAGCCTTATTAATCACTATGTGTTGGAGACAATTCCTTTCTTTTCCTGCCTCTCAGTTTCCTCTTATAGCTTTAAAATTAGTCTCCTAAGTAATATGTGTATTCTGTACATGCAGGTAAAATATCATGGTTTATGTTTATGTGAACATTCTGAAATTTCTACTATTTTTAGGAATGAGCATATGTGAAATTCACAAAGTTGTAGGGCAGAGAGTGAGACTAAAAGAATAGCTCTGATTTAGGGAAGGAGAGGTAGGTGCTAGATAAGTGGTCATGAGAGAAGAGTCTTGTGAGAGGGGAAGAACGTACCTAGGGTATGGTACAGATTGTAAGATGCTGATGCCTTAGCCACACTTGGAGATTATTTCCCCCAAGAGGACAGAACCAGACCCTCTGTCTGTTGCAGTCCTCTAGTGTTAGTATCCCTTCAGATAAGATAAGATGTGTTCCCTTCCACACATATCCCAAATAGAGTTCTCTTCTGGAAATCCCTCTTCTCAACCTTGAAGGGCTACAGCGACAGATATCCTTCTTTTCTTCATTTCTGTCATAACAACTTTCAGATGGCACACCTCATTTGCTTGAAGAAGATTTTTTTCTTCTCAAGACACAGCCAACTTTCCCTTATCACGTGAGTGGGCTGTTTTGGGGGTCCATATAGATCTTTGATAAAATTCTGGGAGACTTGGGACTTCTGCCTTCCATGAGTTCTGCTTCCCTGAAATGGACTAGGCAACATTAATTAGACTTGAAGTTGTAAAATACCGAGAATATTGGTTTCCCTAACAAGTATTGATTCCTGGGTGAATGTGGAAGACACTGACAGTTTCACAGATGAATTTTCTCTGCCCTTAAAGAATATTCAATGTAGTGAGGAAGACCAACATATTACATGAACCAAAATCTGTCAATCCATCCATATACACCTCTGCATGTGCAAAGACAATCACCCAGATGCATAGGGAATTGTCAATAAAACTAGTTAAATATATGATTAACATAGAAATTCCATTGTGAAAGATCTCTGCAAACAGCTAGAAAGGTAGAATTTTGGAAAATGAATGAGGAAAGCCCATTCACTTTGGCACTACATTAATAATATAGTTAAAACTCTGTCTTGCCAATAAACAAAGTTCATTTGATATTTAGCATGTCTATTGGCAAGACAGAGTTTTAATATTATTGATTAGAATTTGAATTATTCTAATTCAAACTATAATTAATACAAAGATCATTTGAATTAATTATAATTATGTATTGCTAATGATTTTTGAGTAAAACCTGAACCTGAAGTATTCCTTCTTGGTACTATGAGCTCAATGCTTGAAGAGCTGTAAGATCTAACTGTGAAGTGAGGCGAACATCATCACTCACCCTGAAAAACTCAAGATTGTGAGTAATACATACGTAGTACCTGGCACATACGTGAACCCTGTAAGTTAGCCATTTCCTTTACAAAGAAATTCTCACACAGCTGTGTGAGGGAGTAGGTGTGCTGATGTTCATCATGGCACTGTTAGTGGTGGCACGAAGAAGGAAACCATTTGGGCATCTGTCATTGGCAAATGAATGGGCAAATGAATATGGTGGAAGCAAAAGAATGGAGCAGTTAGAAGGTACGGACTATATTCCCAGAATAACATGGATGAATCTTAAAAATATAGTACTAAGTGAAAAGTATGTGAAAACTTGTATTTTTTTGTTTTGCTTTGTTTTGGTTTGAGACAGGGTCTTACTCTGTCTCCCAGGCTGGAGTACAGTGGTGCAATCACTGCTCATAGCAGCCTTGACCTCCTGGGCTGAAGTGATCCTCACACCTTAGCCTCCTGAGTAGCTGGGACTGCAGGCATGTGCCACCGTGACTGGCTATTTTTTAAATTTTTTGTAGAGACGGAGTTTTCGCCACATTGCCCGGGTTGGCTTCAGACTCCTGGGCTCAAGGGATCCACCTGCCTCAGCCTCCTGAAGCTTATATTAAGTATTATCTAACATAACTTCATTTATGAAAATTTTAAAATGCATAAGATGAGGAAATCAATGTTTTACAGAAGCACGTATAAATAAAAGAATATGCTTTAAACAAATTATAAGTGGTGTCTGTGGTGGTGGAGAAGAAAGGAAATGAACTGGGTCAAAGGCCATAAGGAAAGAAGAGAATGGCCTTGTAATCCAGTGATGGCTTTTGCCAAGAACCAGAGTATGTGATGACCTCAACCTTGTGTACTTGTGGTTATAAAAGAAGAAACAAACAAATAAACAGACTAATGAAAGTGTCTGCCACACAGTAAGTGGCCTATCAGCGTATTCCAAACTCTTTTCTTAGGTGCTCTAGTAACTGCAGGGCTACAATAGCTATGATATGTGAATAGGCGATTTTATAACAACAACGTGATATAAATTTAAGATAAATACATTTACATTACTTTCCAGAATACAACTCCACTAGCTTACTTAATTCACTAAAATGCAGAACATAGTGTGAAGAGCAATTCACTTGGATATACTTCACGATTGGAAGTGCTTTCATTATTAAAGTAACTAAATGAAGGGCTGTCAAAGACACTGTCATGACCACATGTAATCCAGAGAGCTGTATTAAAATCACCTTGAAGGAAAACATTCTGCCAGAGGTACATAGTTGTATTTTAGCAAAATGATATTAGTAAAACCTTTCTGTCATATTTTAAAAAAACTGTCAAGAGCAAAGAAAAGTGTGGTCCAGGCTTGGTGTAGTATCATTAGCAACTGGGATAAATACGTATTGGCCGGGAAATGTATTGGCCTTTGTCATAGTGTCCTATAGCATATATGCTTAGACTTGGATTCTAAAAGAGGGCAAAGCTGTAGTCTAGAAGATGGAAGGTAAAAGAACCAAATATTTCTGTATCCCAGGTGGACTAAACAAGGGAATAATGTAAGTATGCTACAGAACGGTGAATGTGGAGTAAGTAGGCTAATTGGCCCTAGTGAACTAGGGTGTATAGAACAACCCTTGAAGTGAGTTAGAATTCGTTTAGCTCCAAGTAACAGAAGACTCAACTAAAATGGCTTAAACAATAAGAAAAAATTATTGTTTCACATGAAGAGAAATCTCAAGCTAGGGCAGATCCAGGATTGGGTAATCCATTCACTCAATGGTGTGTCATCGAGAATGCAAGTTCTATCCATCCTTCCTCTCTGAAATCCTGGCTTATCCTCTTAAACTACCTTCGTGGTGGTCACAAAATAGCAGCTGCAGTAGTAGACACATGCAAATAACCCAACTGAGAGAGGAAGAAGAGGGATGGTTTCCTCTTGTGGATCTCTTCTTATCGGAAGCCTTTTCCAGAAGCCCTCCAGCAACCTCTCCTGTCTTTCTTGTACGAATTATGGCACCTTCTGACTCCTACACTAGAAACTTGGGACATAGAATTCCCTCAATTGGCAATCCAGGCTTGCTCTTGGGGCCTGAGGAAGGGTGAAGCCTCCTCTGAAGCACATGGCTGCATGAAATCTGCATCAAAGGAAGTTCTCTTAGCACAAAACAAGGGAGTGAAAGGGAAGGGCTGAATGGTGGGCAGCCAACCTGTTTTTTTTTAATATGCTGTCCAGGGAGAGAGAAGAAGAGAAGGAGAGAGATTTATAAATTGATGATCAGAAAGATGATATGAACTTCTGACTAAGTCACATAAAGAACCAACTCCATCATGAGCTATGTGGGGTGTGATCTCTGATTTCTCATCAAGGGGCATGCCAGACTTCTAAGGCCATAGTCCTGCCTATATTTGGCCCTTCTGCCCACCACTTTGGGACTCTTATTTCATGCACTTATAATATAAAATTTATCTTTCAGGTGTTTGAGTCTCTGCTTATGCTATTCCTTCTGACAGGAGTGCTCTTCTTACATGTATATACATGGGTGATGCTTATTTCATTCTTCTAAAAGCAGCAGGGATATTATCACCTCCAGGAAGGCTAACTATAACTCTCAGTTTGGTTCTGTCTCTCTCCTCTCTACTTGATTATGTGCATACCAGCATATCACATAGTACTTACTGGATTGAAATTCTCTTCTTCATTTCTTCCTTCTGCAAACATGTACTGGGTCACTATTCTATGGATAGGACTTGTCTGGATGCTGGAATAAAACGTAAAACCAAAATGAAGTCCTTGCTCTAATGTACTATAGAGGGAAGGGAATCAGATAATAAATACATATGTAGTAAGCCAGGTGGTGGTATGTGCTACGGTAATGGAATGGTGGGATGAGGGCTGAGATTTCAAACAGGATGAATGGTCAGGGACAGCCTTAGTAATGAGATGCTATCTGAACAGATATGATTAAACTGCTGGAAGGAACCATTCAAATATCTTCTGGAAGAACATCATCGAAGAGGAATAGAAAGTGCAAATGCCCTGAGGTTGAATGTGCTTGTTATGTTGAAGGTATGCAAGGAGGTGATATGGCTAAATTAGAGTGAGCTGGTGGAAGAGTGGTAGGAGATGAGGTCTGACAGGTGGCCAGGGCCAGATCACAGAGGGCCTTGTTGGTCACAGTAAGGACTTTGGCTTCCTCCCTGAGTAAAAGGGAAGACAGTGGAGTTTTTGAGCAGAGGAGTACCTAACTAACTGATACTTAAAAAATACTAGTCTATCAAAGATATCATGGAGGAGGATAAAGACTGGAGTAGAAAGAAGATAGGAGATTATTTAAGTAATTCAGGAGCACCTTTATGCTGTTAAAACTGGGGAGCATGAGAAATGTGCAGATGAGGAATATTTCCAAAGATGGGGAAAACAGGATTTTTTTCACTGATTGAATAAGAATGAGAAAGTACTTAAGGACGATCCCAAGGTTTTTAGCTTGAGAAACTGGAAGAATAGAATTGTCATTTACAGAGGTAAAGAAGGCTGTGAGGGACGCAGGCTGGAGAGAGGAATTAGAAAACCAAGGATTCGCTTTTGGACATGTTCAGTTTGAGATATATATTAGACATCCAAGTGGGGATGTTGAGTAGGCAGTTGGATATATGGGTTTGGAATTCAAGGCAAGCATAAATGCAGGAGCTAATAGCATATTAGTGACATTAGGACATTCCTCCTAATTAGATATTAGGAGGAATGAGGTTGGATGAGATCACCTGTAATATGAGTGTTCATAGAGAAGAGGTTCAAGATCTGAATTCTGCTTTATTGTGATGTCTAGAGGTTCAAAATTGAGAACAATTCTGCAAAAGAGACTGAGAAGGAGCAGTCAAGGAGGCAGGCTGTGGACCAAGAGAGAATGATGACTCCGAAGTTAAAAGAAGGAAATGTCTGATGGCAATGAAGTTCCTGAAGAATGAAGTCTCCCTGAGAGCAGAAACTATTCTTGATCATTCTTATATCCATAGCCCTCTACAGTGAGCGATGCTCAATTAATGTTTGTGGAACTGAATAGAATGAACTCTTCTTTCCTGACATATTCTTGTCCTGAGATAACACATATTCCAGCATCATCTTTTCTTCTCTTGGATTTTCCTTTTCCATTTCTATTTTCGTAAACATGACAGCTGTGGCCTCCAGGCTGAGAGCTCTGACCACTTTCTTATGGCAGGACCTACTTGTTAGTATTGTCTTACATTCATGGAGGGATACAGGGAATGAGGTCCCACTGAGGAGATAAAAACATGCTGGAAATTCTGCAAGTGCTGTCAACTTGTTTGTACAAAAACGACTGAGATGGAGATGTTCTCCTCCTGTGACACTGCAAAAGTGGGTGGTCTAGTGGGAAAATGTCTTGATTGGCTGATCTTGTGTAGCTCAAGATTTTTTACTGCACAAATTCCAGGGTGAGGAATGTCTTAAAGTATGGAAATTCAAAATGCAAAGATCCAATTCCTTTTAATCTTTCACTCCAGAACAATTCTAGATTATTTAAAAATGTACACAAATGATAGTAAGATAGATTTTAACCATTGGCTGAAGGAATAGTGACTCTTCTGTTCATTGCAATGTAAAACTAACATGAATTCCCCTCTCTAGCATTTATGAATTTCTCAGAATTGTGATAAAGGTATGTAATTTTTCATGAAGCAGTGTGCCCTGATACTTAAACTCATGAAGTGCAATAACTGAAATCCAGATACTATCTGTAACTTCAAGTGATGTTCTGAGAATTTTTTTCCTTCTGTTCTCAGGCAGTCATTGGCATAAAAATGGGTTCTCTCAGCACAGCTAACGTTGAATTTTGCCTTGATGTGTTCAAAGAGCTGAACAGTAACAACATAGGAGATAACATCTTCTTTTCTCCGCTAAGTCTACTTTATGCTCTAAGCATGGTCCTCCTTGGTGCCAGGGGAGAGAGTGCAGAGCAACTAGAGAAGGTATGGAATTCCACAGAGATTTGCCCAGGCCCAGAAGTCTTTCATGCACCCGCTCTGGGTCAGCCAAATTAATTCTATCTTTATACCAATAAAATTGCCATCTTGAGAGAGAAAAAAAACCACATTGAGTAAATCATATTTCTTAAAAATTGATAATGGTTTGATTAACGGAGTATGCTGTAGTGCAAGCAATGTAATACAAGCAACACGTGGTCTCTTTTTTAGTATCAGTGGTATCACAAATAAATCTCTGCAGTTTACTTTTAGGGTCTCTTCATTCAGTGATTTAAATGTGACAGAGTTACTATGATTGTCCTGTAGAAGGTTAAATTTACAATAAACATAATGCTATTTTAGACATTACCAAGTTAAAAAAATTTTCATGATTATGTTTCAAATTCATAACAGTTAGGAATTATTATCCACACTTTACAGATTGAAAACTGAGACTCAGAAAGGAAAGGTGACTTTTCAGGTTATATAGGCTAACATTAGAGATTTTCCCATTACATATATTTTTATTGCAGTGGAAAGTCTAGAAGAATATCACTTAACAACTCTTAGGATACTTGCAAATCTTATTATTTTTTGTGCTGGGTACTGTCTTAGTTATCAGCCTAAGAGCAGTAGGGACAGAAGGGTCTAGCGGATAAGAGATTAGTCCCTGGAGCCTGACAGTGGTCTGATGCAAGCTGCTCGATCTCTCTTAAACTTATAGTTTCCCTAACATAGAATGAGGGTAATAGTATCTACTTATACAGTTTTTGGGAAGGTTAAATAAGATATGTAAAGACTTAGTTCAGGATTTGGAAAGCAACATTATTAAATTTAGCTATCACTATTGGTCTTGATCTAAAATAGAAAAATAGATCCTTACAACTGTCAACCTTGATAGACTGTACATTGCTTCTGATGCCAATGGATCCTTTTTTTTCTTTTCTAGGTGCTTCATTTTCATCATACTGTAGACTCATTAAAACCAGGGTTCAAGGACTCATCTAAGGTATGATAATATTGCTGAGTTGTCAAATGCTCTTTAACCTAAGAGGAGGATGAAATAATTGTCTGAGCGTTGAGTAGAAGAGCTCCTTCTTTTGTCCATGAGGGAAACAGCTCTGTGTCCCCCTTTAACCTTCCTGATGATAACTACAGCCTGTAGAGTTTAGTATAATAATGATAATGATAATAACAATAGTAAAGTTTCTTAGATTTTATTACCTGATTTATTGCCATCCTTACTCAAGCTTTTTTGTTCCTTTATGGAGGGTGCCCTACGTTGAGTCTGCCAGTCTTGTCTATGTGGTGTTAGATTTTTCTGTCTAGAGTGGGGACTGAGAAAGGACCCTGATGCTTGGCCATATAATTCATGTGCTGGGAAAACATGGCCTGATGCTTCTCAATCCACACGCTATGGGACTATGGTCTCTAGTTTTTTCCAGTAGAAGGATTCATTTTGACATCAAAATTATATAGAAATCCTACAAAAAAATAGTTCTGTTTGATTGTGATTGGTTGAGAAAATACACAAATGCATACAGACTCACAGAACACCAACTTCACGGAACCCAGCTGACTATTAAAAGTTCTAAGTCCATAGTTTATGAACATTTGCTTTAGGGAATGCTTTAGGGAATATAGGCATATTCCCTATAATGTCCATAAATTCTTAGCCATCTTTAAAATGCAACAAAGCTGCAGCTTAACAGAATTGCTACCACTGAGAAGCAAATTAGTGTGTGAACTAAGTTCAGTGAAGGGCTGAGGTATTTGATCAAATGACCACATGAAAAATGGAGACGTAGAAAAAAGTGTGAAAGAGAAAAGGAACGATTCTATAAGTACAAGGGTAGCAATAACACTGGAATTATTGCCCTGAATACCCCACTAGGATCTGTTTATTTATGAAAACTGCCTTTGAATTAAATCGTTAGGACCACAAGTACACATGTATTATGCAGTAACTTACAATTCTGCACACAGACTGCAACTAAAGTTACAGAGTGGTGAAATTAATGTGCTAGCGAAAATCCAAAGAAGAAAATGCTTTAAACTAATTTCCTTGTATTCACAGCCCTTTTATTCAGTGGCAAACACCTTGCTCTCTAGATAGTTAGCATTCTCCAATGGCAAAAATCAAGCAATTTAATACACCATTCTTTGTTTACTAATGCTTCAGTGCAGCCAAGCCGGAAGAATTCATTCCGAGTTTGGTGTCTTATTCTCTCAAATCAACCAGCCAGACTCTAACTATACCCTCAGCATTGCCAACAGGCTCTACGGGACAAAGACAATGGCATTCCATCAGGTAAGTCCATTTGGAAGAATGGTCAACAACTTTCTTGGCATCCTCTGAATTTCATACCACAAAATTGATGAAGAGTGAGAACGTTTATCATTAAGAGGCTGAATTTGAGCTGACTTACAGTTTCAGTGAAATGGATTTATTGAAACTCTCATGTAAAGTTATAAAATATTACATAAAAATGACTTTTTCAAGATCCCTAATGCTGCCCAAGAACCAAGGTCAGGGATGAAGCACAAAACAAAGTAGGTAAGAATCATCCCTGTGGACCAGAAGAAAAACAAAACCAACTTTTCATATCATTTTCAGAGATTCTTAATAGTGGAGTATAAAGAAGTAGTTGAAATTACATTGGACCGTGAGCCAAGAGACAGGAGTTCTGTTTCCATTTAGAATACATAACTCTGGGCAAGTCACTTCTATCTTTAAAATGAGAGGATTAGGCTTAGTTCTTTGTAGCTCCAATATTCTAACACCATTTATGCCCTTTCCCAACACCATGATCCTATGTAGTTTTATTGAGTATTTACTCTGTGCCAGTCATTCTGCTTAGCTCATTACAGGCATTATCTCCTATAATCCTCACATTGTGCTAAGATATGGGTATAAAATTTCCATTAATTCTGAAGACTGTGAAGCAGATTCTGAAAAATCAGGCTGACAAGAGTCACAGAGATATTTGAATGGCAAAACCTGGATTTGACCCCTATCCAAATCCATCTTCCTGTTTTTAATTGCTACATCATCTTGCTGTGATTGAGGTGAAATGCAAGCTTTTGTTTGACTAGGGTTATTTAAATGCCATCTGTGTGAAGCTGGATGAAACCATGAGTTTCTAATGTTCTTCCCTGGCCTGGTAGATCAGGTTATGGCTTGGATGTGACAAGCTTCTGATAGTCAGAATATTTGCAACTTGGGGTAGATATTATAGACATTTAGAGGGTATTTTCTTTTACTGCCCTGGAAGCATATAGGGAATGATGTATGGAGAGTGTCTAGAGTGGCAAGGATTAACAATCATGGTCCTTCGAGTTGGGATGCCCGCTGTCATGACTTTGCCTTCTGAAAACAGTGACCCAGACATAACAGTAGATAAATGTGGATTTGGGATGATCGTTATGGCATCTGTTGCTGAAGTGAGAAGGTACTCATTAGCATCATGAAGATTGTCTTGAACTGTGTCATGAGAGGGACCTTGTTATTTCAGGATTCTGGCTGGAAAAACATCCATCTCCTGGGCTATGGAAGTTACTTAAGGTTGTTTCAACCACAGTTGGATCCAGCTCAGGACAAGATTCATTCTGAGGCCCAGATTTTGCTCGTAGTTTATCAGAGGAACCCACCCCCGATAATTCAACATAGGTTCTTTTCTGTTTTCCCCAAGTGTTGGGTGGTCTGAGAAATAAAGGGAAAGAGGACAAAAGAGAGAAATTTTAAAGCTGGGTGTCCGGAGGAGGCATCACATGTTGGCAGGTCTGTGATGCCCCCAAAGCTGCAAAACCAGCAATTTTTTATTAGTGATTTTCAAAGGGGAGGGAGTGTACGAATAGGGTGTGGGTCACAGAGATCACCTGCTTCACAAGGCAATAAAATATCACAAAGTAAATGAGGGCAGAGCACCGGGGTGAAATTAAAATTGCTAATGAAATTTCAGGCACACATTGCCATTGATAGCATTTTATCAGGAGACAGAGTTTGAGAGCAGATGACCGGTCTGACTAAAATTTACTAGGTGGGAATTTCCTCATCCTGACAGGCCTGGGAGCACTATGGGGGACTGGGGCTTACTTCATCCCTTATCTGCAACCATATAAGACAGACATTCCCAGAATGGCCGTTTCAGAGACCTCCCCCTAGGAATGCATTCTCTTTCTCAGGGCTGTTCCTTGCCAAAAAAGAGAATTCAGCAATATTTCTCCTATTCGGTTTTGAAAGAAGAGAAATATGGCTCTGTTCCTCCCGGCTTTCAGGCAGCCAGACCTAATGGTTATCTCCCTTGTTCCCTGAACATCGCTGTTATCCTGTTCTTTTTTCAAGGTGCCCAGATTTCATATTGTTTAAACACACATGCTTTATGAACAGTTTGTGCAGTTAAATCAATCATTACAGGGTCCTGAGGCAACATACATCCTCAGCTCAGGAAGATGATGGGATTAAGAGATTAAAGTAAAGACAGGCACAGGAAATCACAAGAGTATTGATCAGGGAAGTGATAAATGTCCATGAAATCTTCACAATTTTTATGTTCAGAGATTGCAGTAAAGACAGGCATAAGATATTATAGAAGTATTAATTTGGGGAACTAATAAATGTCCATGAAATCTTCTCAATTTATGTTCTTCAACAACTTCAGCAGGTCCCTCCGTTCGGGGTCCCTGACTTCCCACAACATTAGTTAAGCTTTGTTTTTCTTCTATGCTAGGCACATCTTCCATATTTTGAAGTCTTGTATCATTCTATTCAGTTCATGTTGGGGCATTGGGTCCCATTGGGCTGTGGAGGTATGCTCCTAAGGTCTCAGGAATTGCATCATGGTAAATTCATTTGGGTCCACGTAGATATCACTGTTGTCTTGACAGAAAGACAACAGAAAGTCTCCAGTTCTGTAGAAATCTAGGGCCATGGGTGGTCATCAATAGTTGCTCCAGAATACTACATAGGAGGGGCTTGGGAATAAGAATTTTTGGTTAAAAGAAAGGGTAAGTTCTTCATACTGAGATTGCACACCACTTTCACTTGGATAATATGTTATAGGTGAACGAAATAATAAATTCCTTAAGATATTTTTGCTCACACTTTATATAAATTTGACAGAAATGCCAACTATTTACATCAGATAATGTTTTCATTATTAATTATATTTATGGCAGCTTGTGAGGAGATTGATACATGTCATGGGAACAACCTTCTGTTAGACCTCAGGAAAGCAAGTCACTTAACCACTCTTCTCAGTTTTCCTGTCTATAATCTGAGAGCAGTAGCTTCCATGTCTACTTTGAAGAGGAAAGAGTAGTAATAGAGTCAGAAGGTGCTCATTGCATTGCAATTTGTCATTTTGCTTTGAACACTTTAAAACTAAGACAGCCAATCATGTGACAGAAGTAACAACAAAACATTTCTGAACATTCCTTTTGGAAGGGTTTCCGATTTTGTTAAATTTATTTATTTCATTAAAAATAAGTACATATGCATTCTGCTTCCTCTCAGACTTGTTTATAGGAACTGCTTTTTTCTCTGCATTAGAATTTTAGAATACATCGAGCTATAGATTTTGTTTTCCTTACACTGTTTTTGAATTGTTGTTCAATTATCATGTCTTTTATAGCAATATTTAAGCTGTTCTGAGAAATGGTATCAAGCCAGGTTACAAACTGTGGATTTTGAACAGTCTACAGAAGAAACGAGGAAAACAATTAATGCTTGGGTTGAAAACAAAACTAATGGTAAGGATAAGTCAATAGGTGTCTCTAAATTCTGTGTTGTATTGATAAGCAATCCGAGTCCACTTGCTAACGAGGAAGCTGGCTGAAGTCCGCACCTGACATAGGCAGATCAGCAAGAAAGGAATGGGGCCATATTTTGGAATACCCTTTACAATCAGTTGTTCTAGAATATATACAAAGTGACTCTGTGAATGAACACCATTTCTATTTCATAAATGTATGGTGCATTCTGCAATTAAAATTAATTAAATTTAAATTTACTTTTCACAATTAAAAACTCATATATATTGCTAAATATTTCTTAAATGGCACATTTAATATTTGGTACCAAGGATATATTCATTTTTATTTAGAAACATTTGGTTAAGGAAAAATTTAAGGATATACAAAAGTAGAGAGAATATATAGTGAACCCTATATACCCATCACTCAATTGCAACATTTCTCACTAATGGCTGGCCTTATTCATGTAATCTCTCACCCTTTCTCCAACACCTCTTTAAGATTATATTGCAGCAAATTCTAGATATTATATCATTTTCCTACACATATTTCACTTTGTTTTTCTAAAAAATATGGACAATTTTAATACAACCACTACAATATTATTGCATCTGAAAAATTAAAAATAATCATTTCATGTTAAATATTCAGTGTGTTTTCATTTTTCCCCTGTTGACTTTTTTTTTTCTTGTTTGAATCAGGAACCAAATAACATTGACATATCACAATTAGTTAATACATCCCTTAAATTTTGATTTTAAAAATAAACTTTACGATTTAAATATACATACATATAGAAAAGTAAATTATTGTATGTGTGCTGTTTGATAAATTATCACAAAGTGAATATACTCATGAATCACTACTCAGGTCAGCAAAATAAGACATAAGTTATCAGAAAGAGGCACTGCAAGGGCCCCCTTAAATCCTCTTCTAGAAATAAGCCCTTTTTTCTCCCAAACGTTAAGGTTTCTCTGACTTCTGTTACCACTTATTAGTTCTGCCTGTTTTTAAATCTCATGTAATTGGAATCATAAATTATGTGGGTTTTTTAAGGCCAATATATGTTTGTGAGATTCATCCACATAGTTACACGTTGCATGGTTTGTTCATTTTTATTAGTATGTATTTCATTCTCAGAATATTCTAAATATACTTACCCATTTTACTGTTAATAAATACTTAGGACATTTTTAGTTTGGATCCCTTATCAATAGTGCTGCTGTGAATATTTTTGATACATATCTCTGATACACATATGTATGCACTTTTATTGGGTGTACACCTTGGAATGGAATTGCTGGTCATAAGGCATATATACATTCAATTGTAGTAGATGCCAAGCAACTTTCTTAAGTGGTTGTGTCAATTTATTTGCCCAAACAAGAAATGAGAATTTCAATTGTTCCTCCTCCTTGCCAACACTTGGTAGTGTAAGACTTGTTAACTTTAGCCACTGTAGTTATTTTAATTTTAATTTGCATTTCCTTTATGAATTACATGGTTGAACAATTTTTCAGATGCTGCATATCCTCCTTTGTGAAGTTTCTGTTTAAATCTTTTGCCCACTTGTAAGAATGGTTTGTTTGTTTTTCTTTTTTTCTGATAAATTTTTAGGAGTTCTTTGCACATACTGGATACCTATGTTGCAAGTAACTTCTACTATTTTGCATCTTATCTTTCCCATCTCTTAGTGATGTCTTAGATGAATGGAAGTTTCTAATTTCAAGGGAATAAAATTTATGATCTTTTCCTTTATAGTTAGGGTCTTCGTACACATTTTTTGGATGACTTTAAAGAAATATCATTGTGAAAATATTTTCTAGTTCATGAAAATATTTTCATATGTTATTTTCTAGAAGTTTTATTGTTTTATTAAAGTCAGGATTCATTTTAAAATTAGTTTCATTCCACGTGGACGTCTAATTTATATGGCATTATTTATTGAATAAAGAATCCTTTCATTATTACACTGCAATGTAAATTTTATCATAAATTAGATGACCATATCTGTGTGAATCTGCTCCTGGGTTTTCCATTCTCTTTCATTCGTCAATTTGTTTATTCTCATGATGATGCCACAATTGTAGTAGCTTTATAATAAGTCTTGGAAGCTGGAAGTATAATCCCTCCAATGTTGATCCTCTTCTAGGGTTGCCTTGCCAAATCTTGATCCTTCGTATTTCCATATACATTTTAAAATTAGTTTGTTAACTTCCATAGAATGTATCAGTTGAAATTTTAATAGGATTTACATAGAATCTATAGATTTGGAGAGAAAATACATCTTTATTCAAACTCTAATCCATGACCACGAAATTTACCTCTATATAGGTCTTCTTTAATTTTTTCTTTTGGTAACATTTTGTATTTTCCTATGTTGAAGTTTTGTGCATTTTTTGATAAACTGATTCTAGGTGGTATTTGAGGTGTTTGGTGAATTTTAGCTGGTATCTATTATTTTGGTTTATTTGTTGTTGATGTATAAGTATATACTTTACTTTTGTATATTAACATTGCTGAATTCGCTTAATAATTCTAGTTTAGTTTTATATTATTTTAGATTTCTTTTAGCATAAAGAAAATGTTTTCTAATATATTTGTCTCCCATTATATCACTTAACAGTGATGAGCTCTCAATAGTATCTTTTTGATTGAGGAACTGACAGATGTCAAGTTTAGTAATAGGTGACCAGATTAACATATGTATCTATTCTATTATTTGTATTAAGTCAGAAAATGCTTTGAAAGGTGTATATATTTTTTCATATCTGTTAATTTACCTAGCACAGTGGTGTAAAAATATGCCTCATCTCTTGTGCTAACTCTAATCCACTGGTAGTCGCTGCTTGGAAAATCTGTATTGAGAGTCTGAGGCTTAAACTTAGGTTACTTGAAAAAGCCCACAATTGAGCCGGCAGACACTAACTCTGTGACAGTAGAGATTTTTTTCTGTTTAGTTTTGTGTTATAGTCTGAGTTTAGTGCTACAGTGTCTAGAACAGTGCCCAGAATCTAGAAAATGCCTAAATTCTTTTGGCATGAATGAAAAGATGATTAGTGTTGTCTGCCATGGGTGTGCATTCGGGATTCACATGTTATATATTTATGTAGAATATTAATGTTATTTCATCATTTGTTTATATCTTTATTTACTGTTTCAACCAAAACTACACATGGTACACTTAAGGTTAGGTATTGCTATCACATGCTAGGATTGTGTTAGGCCTAGAAGTTCAGTGAAAAGTAAAACCTTCATGAAGCTTAAAGCTGATGTTCAGATATTCCTGTGTTTCATATTGTATAACAGATTACCTTCCAAAAAGGTTTTATAAATTGCAATATACCAAAATGTACCAAGAGGGCTGGATGTTTAATTTTGATCAGTTTTATTTACCAAGCAATTCCTGGCATAATTTTATGAATCTTGATTTTCAGATATGTGTTTACTTCAAGTGCTTTTGTATACATATTTGTAATACGCTAATTGTAGTGCATTGAAAGAATAAGTATTTTAAAATACTTAACATATTTGCATGTAGTGAAGTGCTGGTAAGCATAAAGTCTTGTAAATATTATAAGTAAGCCACAAGAAATTATTACATAGTATTTAAATAAGCAGTAATCTAGAAGAAATCACTCGATATAATGAGGCGTAAGACAAATTGATCCGTCATGAATATACTGGCAACTTCCTGGATGCTGTCTTCTGGTTAAATAACAAAGCATTAAATATTCCCTGAAATAAACTTCATTTGACAAAGGAGGCTCCATGGCCAGGAGATGAAAGGAGTTCTGGTATCTCAAATTTACAATTAGTCTTAAAAAAGAAATGGCTGTAAATTTCTCATGACTCTTCACCTCTCTATCATCAGGAAGTTCACATCCAAATACAATTATCTTATTTTTTACACAAGGAAAAGTCACAAATCTCTTTGGAAAGGGCACAATTGACCCTTCATCTGTAATGGTCCTGGTGAATGCCATATATTTCAAAGGACAATGGCAAAATAAATTTCAAGAAAGAGAGACACTTAAAAGTCCTTTTCAGCTAAGTGAGGTAAGTATTTTATTTTCAGACTGATGACAAATGTTGGAGAATACAGTAATCGTTTAAGGACAACTTAGAAAGATTTAGTGATTTAGTGAAAATATTGGTCTAGGTTTCTGTTGGTTCTTTTATTGTATTTTCTACACATTTTAATTTTTCCTCTATTAAGTGACAATAACTTTTATCACAGAGCACCCAACTGGAGACTTGGGATACCAAGATTCTCTGGCAAAGAAGAAAACCCATTCTTTTCTTAATGTTCTATTGGTTTATTCTTTCCATGTACACTGTAGTTATTTTCTCCAGCAGCACACTAAAGTTATCTGTGTTATTTTTTTTTTCTAGAGAGTTTCTTAAGGAAAGATTAAAAAGAAAATGATCTAATGATGTATCCTTTTTTTTCCACTAAAGTCATGTTAGCTAGAAATCCTGACTTTGCTTTTGGTAGACCAAGCTATCTATATATATTATTAGAACAATTCAGTCTCTAATCATGACTTATTTTAAATTTAAAAAATGGATAATTTTTGCAACGGGAAGTAATAAGGAATCTACTTTGTAGTTTCTATTTTACCCATGCCTTTAGAGTGTTCATGCAGATATTCATGTTATGCAAGGTAATCAGTATACACACATGTACGCTCACATATGTAACTATATATACTACCTAATTATAATCCTTTTCTTCTTCACAGGGTAAAAATGTAACTGTGGAAATGATGCATCAAATTGGAACATTTAAACTGGCCTTCCTAAAGGAGCCGGAGATGCAAGTTCTTGAGCTGCCCTACGTTAACAACAAATTAAGCATGATTATTCTGCTTCCAGTAGGCACAGCTAATGTGAAACAGGTAAAATTATAAGAATGCTAGAAAGCAGTTAAAGCATGTGTGCATGTTCACACACACACACACACACACCACACACACACAGTGTATCTCATGACATTAGTGTAGTCATTGATTCACAATCTAAGCCTCAGTAGGATTGCCCTAGGGGCTGCAAAAGTACCAGGGAGACACGTGGCCTCTGCCTTTCAGGACAATGTGTTTATGGAGAACAAGCTATTCTTACATGAGAAAGGCACATGGAGGCAGAAGTGATGTTTTATACAAATACACACAAGTACTGGTTGGTTGATAGTCAGGGGACATCTTTCTACAGTAATGAAGTTATAATGCTATTTGGGCTCCTAGTGTGCAGAAATCTGATCCAGCCAGTTTACCCTCAGGGGCAGTATTTCTGAGCCAATTGTAATGTACTTTCATGGGCTAGCCATTATTAACATCTCAGTTTTGTGGAGAAATGTGCACCACACCCATTGAGAAGTGGTCATGGCAGTGAAAGGAGTTTGGATCCATCCCCCTTTCCCCAGCTGCAGCCAAAGCTGCCCAGGACAGAGCAGGCTGTGCTTCTGACAGCTGAACTTCTGGGAGCCTGCAAAGCTGACACACATAGGGATGATATGGCCCAACAGTTAGGGGCTTGTAAGCCAGGGAGTGCTGGCTTGAGACGAAAACACTGTGGCACCGATGAGCAAGGTGTGCATGTGTGTCGGGTGGTAGGGAAGGCTTCCGGAAAGAGCAGGGTCAGGATGTACGCATTTGGCTTCAGAAGTGAGACGGGTGCCAATTGAGAGGGAGCTGTAGTAACAGAAGTGCAGCTGTGGCCATGAGAACAGGTATGCTTATGGTTGTAGCCCAGTCAGAGGGAATCAGGTCCCTGAGGGCCTGTGGTTGACTGGAGTGAAAGACAGTTGAGGCATAAAGCAGTTTGGGAGCAGTTTAGACTCTGCAGAAAGTTTTCTGGAAGTAGACTTTGGGATTAGAATGAAGGAGTCAGAAAGGATTTCCTAGCAGAGCAATTTCAGTCCGAGCCTTGCTGGATGAACAGGAGAATCACAGGGGCCCTGCTGAACTAAGCAGAGCAAAGAGCAGTGCAAATGCCTTAGAAGAAGGGCAGTGTGAGCTGTGGCATGAAGTCATGGTCTCTTGGATGTGGGCAGAAAAGGACAAAAGGAAAAGCCACTTTGGAAGAAAAACCACATTTATTTTATGGTGGATTATATATTGTCATGGTAGGCAGCGGTGGTCAAAACTGTTTTAAATTCTTGGATTGAAAAGATGGGATGTGACACAGCATGGTGGTTTGGAGCTGGGAGCTGTGGACAGGGCTGGCTGGAGAGTTCAGTGCCTGAGGGGAGCGTTTGAAAGATTTACAAACAAATGATGAAACTGGATGGAGAAAAATGAGAAGTCAGCGTGCTGAGGCTGCTTTGGGAAACCTGAGCATTGATGTGGCAGCTGACATGCTGGGCAGAGGCACAGGTGGCCCAGAGTTCAGCTTCAGGAGCAGCTACCAGAGACAGTGACAGAGAAGGGCATGAGAAGGATGAAAGCTATCAGAATTCACAGGGATCCTGGCATCAGGGATGCCAAACGAGAATCACGCTCATAAAGGAGGGTGTCGTGGAATGTTTCAGATATGAGAACCAAGAAGAAATGGTTGAGTCCATCCACGAAACAGGACCATGACAACTTCACAGGCGATAGTGGGAGAAGTGCAGTGAAGCATGTGTGCTGAGGGAATTGAGGGAAAAGACTGTAGGATACCTACTTGAGAAGCTTAATTATGAAATTTAGAGGAGAAACAGATGACAGAAAAGGGAAAATGTGGCTAATGGTATGATTTTGTTCCCAGGTAAGTAGACTGTATTAAAGGTAGAAAAAGTGATGAAGTTGAAACATTCACACTGAGAATTATAAAAACATATGACATTTAATGTAGAGGCCATGTGTTTGACTCATGTGGGCTTGTCTGTGTTTTGTCTCTTAGATAGAAAAGCAGCTGAATTCGAGGACGTTTCATGAGTGGACCAGCTCTTCTAACATGATGGAAAGAGAAGTTGAAGTACATCTTCCCCGATTCAAACTTGAAATTAAGTATGAGCTAAATTCCCTGTTAAAATCTCTAGGGATGACAGATCTCTTCAACCAGGTCAAAGCTGATCTTTCTGGAATGTCACCAACCAAGGGTCTATATTTATCAAAAGCCATCCACAAGTCATACCTGGATGTCAGCGAAGAGGGCACGGAGGCAGCAGCCGCCACTGGGGACAGCATCGCTGTGAAAAGCCTACCCATGCGAGCTCAGTTCAAGGCGAACCACCCCTTCTTGTTCTTTATAAGGCACACTCATACCAATGTAATTCTATTCTGTGGCAAGCTTGCCTCTCCCTAATCAGATGGGGGTGAGCAAGTGTCAGAGTTGCAGATGAGATGCAGAGACAATCCTGTGACTTTCCCATGGCCAAAAAGCTCACACCTCACACACCTCTGTGCCTCAGTTTGCTCATCTGCAAAACAGGTGTAGGATCTCTTCCAACAATTTCATGAGTTGTGAAGCTAAGGCTTTGTTAATCATAGAATAAGGTGGATTTATGCAGAAAGCTTTCTGGCTTTCTTATCTGTGGTGTCTCGTTTGATTGCTGTCCAGTGACATGATCAAGTCAATGAGTAAAATTTTAAGGGATTAGATTTTCTTGACTTGTATATATTTGTGAGATCTTGAATAAGTGACGTGACATCTCTGCTTAAAGAAAACCAGCTGAAGGGCTTCAGCTTTGCTTGGATTTTTAAATTTTTTCCTTACATATGTAAATAGAATGCGGTGAGTTTTAGTTCAAAATTCTGTGTTGAGAATAATAAATGCATGGAATACCTTAAAGCTCTGTGAAGACTTGTAACATATGGCAGCAATCAAATGGCTTATAAAAGGGTACTTTGAACGTGGAGAAGTCTAATTCAGTCAATATTTCAGTGGAATTTTTGGCCAATTGCTTGAGTTGAATTGAATTGAATTATACTACTGAATTGAACAATAGATTTTCTCCTCCTCCTTCTCCTCCTCTTCCTTCTTCCTTCTCCTCCTTCTCCCCTTCCTTCTTCCTTCTCCTCCTCCTCATCCTCTTCCCCTTCTTTCCCTTTTTCCCCCTCTTCCCCCTCTTCTCCCTCTTCTCCCTCCTTCTCCTCCTCCTCCTTTCTCTTCTTCTTCTTCTCCTTCTCCTCTCTCCTCCTCCTCTTTCTTCCTTCTTCTTCTCCATCCTCCTCTTCTTCTCTCCTCCTCCTCACCTCCCCTCCCCCAACCCCAGAAAAAAAAAAAAAATAAAACATCCTCTCCTCCTCCTCTCCTCCTCTCCCCTCCTCCTCTCCTCCCTCCTCCTCCTTCTTCCTCTTCTTTCTTCTTCTTCTTCTTCTCTTCTTCCTTCTTCTCCTCCTTCTCTCCTCCTCCTCCTCTCCTTCTCTCCAATCTCCTCATACTTCCTGCCTCCTTCTCTACCTCCTTTCCCTACACCTTCATCTTTCCAGCAAATAAAAGTTCAAACCAGAAAAAGGCATAAGTCAATCAGAAGATTTTTGTTTTAAAGGAAGCCTCCTTTTATACTCAGGATAACATGGAGCAATAATCAGATAAAAAGTGTCTATAAAGCATTTACTGCCTTCTCAGTGCCTTCTTGGTGAATATTTTCTCCTGGAACTTCCTCAGAAGTCTTAGTAGAGCAGGAGTCCCCCACTTCTAACTTCCCTAGCCCCATCTTAGAAGAGGTGGCTGGAGGTCAGCCATTGCTTCCCTCCTAGGTGATAGGCAACATTCTTTTAGGATAGACAGTGCTGGCAGCTAATGAAACCTTTTCCCTTCTCCTTGGGGCATTGAAGAATATGGCTTACTTTAATCTTCAATATAGATATTATAAAATTGCAAACAAGCAACAATCTCAGCAAAGTGTAAGACTGAAGAATATCTACTTAAAATAGCATGCAACTTCCTTGCAGCACTGAATGGCTGTCTTGTTGCATGTGGTTGTCCCAGTGATTGTCTACCAGGCCCATCTGTCACATGGCATAAAGACAAGAAGTTGCCTTGGCTAACGTCACAGGATAATTCAAGAGTCCACAGGCATAGTGGATTTAACTGTGGTAACATGGAGAGACACGAAACAACAATGATGGGTGTAGGAAAAATAAGAATGGTTTTTTGGTATCTACTTTTCACCCTAAACATTGTGAGGTTGTTACCTGGAAGTGTGGGGGTCCTCTGTTTCTGTCATTTTTGAGAGAAAGAATTTGGCCAAGTGACAATTTAGTTAAGAGAGCAGAGAGTTTATTGAATGAGAGTACACGCCAAGAGAGATATGGGTTGTTCTGACTGGAAAACAGCCCATAGAGTCCTGTGTTGTGGTTTTTATTATGTCAGACTTTTTCTTAATGTTCCCACTATATATATGTTCACCACTGTCAATTATAAAACATACATATATCTATATATAATCTATCTATCTATCTATCTATCTATCTATCTATCTATCTATCTATCTATGTCTCTCCATATATTAGGGGTGGGGGGGGAGAGAGAGAGAGAGAGAGAGAGAGAGAGAGAGAGAGAGAGAGTTTAATTAAAGGAATTGGCTCATGCAATTGTGGAGGTTGGCAAGTGCAAAATCTGCAGGGCAAGCCTGAGACCCAGGGAAGAATTGATACTGCAGCTTGAGTCTGAAGGCAGTCTGGAGGCAGAGTGCCCTCTTCCTCATGAGACCTTGATCTATCTTCTCTTAAGGCTTTTAACTGATTGCATGAGGTCTACCCACACTATGGAGAGTAATCTGCTTTACTCAAAGTGTACTGATTTAAATGTTAATTTTATCTAAAATTGCCTTCACAGCAACATCCAGACTGGTGTCTGACCAAATACCTGTGGGCCTAGCCAAGTTGACACATGGAATTAACCATCAGAGGCACCGAGGGGGCAGGGAGGTGAATTTTCACCCTTCAAAGAGCTAACAGAAACTCTGTGTCTGCCAGTATAAACAATGTAACAAACCAGCAAGACTCATGGAAATAAGCCACAAAAGCAGCCTTGTATTTCCCTCCTATTGTCCCTGTAGAGCTGCTTAGAGAGAGATCCATCCCTAGCCCCAGCATGAAAACTCTGGCAGTCCTCATGGCTTTCTGGTTACACCTAAAATCTAGAAAATCTGTGATTGTTCCACATCACAAACATAATCAGATTCAGGAATTAAAAGATTTGGGCCCAGATAGTAATCTAAACCCTTACCATTCCCCGGGTGGTCTGGGGACCACAATACTGGTCTCACGGGAGCTTGTTAGAAATGGAAAGGCAAAGTCTCTGGCTCCAACCCAAACCCACGGAAGGAATCAGAGCCTGCAGTTTAACAAGCTCCCCAGTTGATTTGTGTGCACATGACAGTTTGAGAAGCACTGATCCTAACCACAAGCCTAATTTAATAGTGTATCTTCTTCCCGCCCACCAGCTGCAACAGGTGCAGGGAGAAGCCTGGGATCTGGAAGAGAGGGGTGGCTGTTCCCTCACCCACCTGCTATTTCTGACTCCTAAGGAGAAGCAGTAAGGGAGAAATTGACAAGGGAATGAGACAGTCCTGCAGATTTACAAGCTGGTGTCATGCTCTGGACCTGACATTTTGCCTGTAGGAGCTGTTGTGGGTTCCCTGGACAGAGGGCCCCTCTGCTCCCTCCCATGGGCAGTGCTCTTCCTGCTGGTGAGCTGCTGGCCCCAGTAACATTCCCCATAACCATAATGATTAAATTCCCTTCCCTTTTTGTCAGGATCTCTTCCTCTTGCTTGAGATTTTTTTAATTTCTTGGCATTACTGGTTAATATTTTTTATTGGATTTTAGAGTGTTCAGTCATTATTTCTTTAAATATATTCATGTGTGTGTATGTACACATGTTTTTGCTAAAGGCAAAAACCGCAATTACTTTTGCACCAAACTAAATATATTTTTCTTTTTAAAAATATTTTACTGGCGACAGAGCCTGATCCCATGGAAGCATGGTTCTGGGGCTTTGCTACAGTGGATCTAGATTAGCTCTTATTCGAGGGCCGTGGCCAGCACACTGCAGCCTGAGGGCCGAGTCCTGCCTTCCACCTAGTTTTGTATGGTTTTGAAGCTACCACTGGTTTTGTGTGGCCAGTGGTCAGCACTTGGAAGGAGTAGCACTGTGAGCCGCTAAGATACACCCTGGTGTTCCCTCCACTCTCAGTTCTCCTCTCTGCTCCCCGTCCGCAGTGCCTGCTTCCTCAGGCACCACATTACGTGGCAGAATCTCAGTCCATGAATCAGTGACTTAGCAGAGACAGCCACACCCTCCAGGAGGAGAAAAAATCTGAGTGTTGTTGGGGCTTAGAGAGAAATTGACCCAGGTGGTCGCACCCCTTCCCACTTGCCTACCTGGCCCACCTGGTCCCTCCTCCTTGGGCAGGTCATTCTTCATTCCAAAAATGTTTCCAGCTGGTGGCAGCTAGGCACAAAGTGGGTCACCTCCCAAGATGGCCTATGGGCAAACAGGGAATGACAAGGTAAGAGTTTATTGAAGTATGTTTTGCCTTATGACCTGCACAAGTGTTAAAGAGTCTCCTACCCAGTTTTATTCAATCATCTACATATAGTCTAATATCTCATAATTTATTTTGATGCCTCGCTTAAACTTAATTTGGCATCACGTTAGACTTGGCATTAGGTTGCATACTGCTGTTTACTTTTGTGGCAGACATATCAAAATTGTTAGCAACAATGATATCTCATGCTGATTGGAATCTCTGACCAGAAGTTATAGATATCTTTGATGAAGCAAATCTGTGAAACAAAGGCAGTTTTGTGGATAAAATATTTTAAAATATGAAAGAAAAATGATAGAAATGGGGAAAAATTAAGAAATCACTCATGTGTCTAGATGCCACTGGCCTGAGTTCATGACAAGAGAAGTGGAGGACTGAGAAAAGAGACTCCTAAATATCCTCACTTGTGTTATTGAGTTAAAGGGAAGCTGAGAAAGATTCAGAATAGCCCATACAATATTGAAGAAGAAGAAGAAAGTCAGAGGATGTCTACCACCTGATTTCAAGACTTACATAAAGCCACAGTAATCAAGACAGTGACATATTGTTGAAAGAAAAACAAATAGATCAGTGGAACAGAATAAAGAGCCCAGAAAGAGACCCACACAAATAAAATCAATTGGTCTTTGGTAAAGGTGCAAAGCCAATTCATTGCAGAAAGAATAATCTTTTCAACAAATGGTGGTAGAACAACTGGATATCCACGTGTCAAAAATAATCTAGAATCTGATTTTACATGCTTCACAAAAAATATCTCAAAATTGATAATTCACCTAAGTATAACATGAAAAACTACAAAACTTCTAGAAGATGACATGGGAGAAAATCTAGATGACCTTTGGTTTAGCAATGTCTTTTTAGATACAATACCAAAGGTGTGATCCATTAAAAAATGGATAATTTGGACTTAATTAAAATTAAAAACTTCTGCTCTCAAAAGACACAGGATAAAAACACAAGCCACAGAGCGGAAAAAATATTTACAAAATATATGTCTGATAAAAACAAAGCTGGTATTAAAATATACAAAGAATTCTTAAAATTCAACAATAAGAGGCCAGGCATGGTGGCTTATGCCTATAATCTCAGCACTTTGGGAGGTTAAGGCAGGTAAATTGCTGGAGCTCAGGAGTTTGAGACCATCCTGGGCAAGCAGAAAAACGCTGTCTCCCATCCCCCGCCCCCCACCAAAAAAAATTAGCCAGGCATGGTGGCACCTGCCTTAGTCCTAGCTGCTTGGGGGACTGAGGTGGGAGGATGAGTTGAGCCCAGGAAGTAGGGGCTGCAGTGAACTA